GGGAAGACTAAGGTGCATGATATCCATAGATGCTATAGGAAGCTACCAGAAGGTAAGAATGAAGCAGAACCTAGAGGTGCGTGCTCTCAGAGGCCTGGCTCCAGCTTTCCAGGGAGTTTTGGAAAAGCTGCTGAAGATCGTTTATTCACTTACTGCTACAGATGGTCCACTTGGGTGGTTAAGAATGACATGACATAATGAACAATGATATCACAGAAGAGGACAATGAAATCAAATGGCAGGCCTAAACTTAGGTAGATCTAAGGCCTAAACAGAGGGTCCCACGCTTGTATCAACCCATGGCACAAAGACCCCTAAATATAAAATATGAATATTGCCACCTCTCTTGGGACATGAATGAAGAGTGTTCCCCAGGGATGACTTGTATTCTCCTACTACCTGTCACAATGTGGTCTGTACTCCAGCTGTTCAAAGGAGGAGGTTATTCTGGAGGCTCCTGCATGGTTCTCAGTCTGTTTGTCTATCTTGGTACCCTGGATGGTTGTTCTGGAACATTTGCAGGGAAACATGTTCACCTGGACAGTTGTGCAAACATAATTACAACCACTAGTGAATGATTTCAGCTCTTGCACACAGACTGCACAATGGTTTCTAGGCACGCTTGGGGTTTTACTGTTTACAGAACATTTTCATGTTTGACTTCATTTGATTCTCACTGAGTGTGGTGTCTGTTTTCTGACAGGAGCATGTTTGGAGGAGTCACCACTTCTAAGCTGGCTGCTTGGGGCAGGGGAGTTACTTTAGTTTTCCATGCCTCATGCCCTCACCTGGAAAGCAGAGACAGTTCCAGTAGCTTCTTCAGCAGGGTGTGATGGATGAGGTGAACACGTGGCCTTGAGAGCTGTGCCAGGATACAGTGACTCCAAGCTCTCCGTATTCCTAGCATCACCACCATCATTATTTTAGAAATTCGAGAAATGTGTCCTCCCCAAGGTCACATTGACACCTGAGTCTGTGATGACTTTGGAGGTGGGACTTTGCAAAGTCATTAGGTCTTGAGGGTGGACATCTCCCCATGATGACATTAGTGCCTTGGTAAGAGACTGGGTTTTCTTTTTGTGTCTCTGCAGGGAGAGTGCTCAGAAAGAGCCCGGAGAGGAACAGCGGGCAGGTGTGTGCATCTTTACACTCATGACAACTGAGGGAAGGAAACTGCTCCCTGCTCCCTCTAAGCAGAAGAGAACCCTACCCACCCATCCCACCCCCCAGTTCTCAGGTTAAAACAATACATCAAAGACAAGGCTATCCAACTGTATGAAGTGTGAGATATACCCAAATGTGTTTGTGAACTTTCCCCCTCCCTCTTCAAGCATCTAAGTCAATTCAGAATTATAGTAAGAGTCTACAAAACCGGTCATGTGGTTTTGAAAGTCATTTCAAGAAGTGGGGCTGGACAGATAGCTTGGAAGTTTAGACCATTCACTGCTTTTGCAGAGGACCTGGGTTTGGGTCTCAGCGCCCACAGGGTGGCTCACTGTTGTCTGTAACTCTAGCTCTGCAGAAGCCAACACCCTCTTCTGGCCCCACTGGAACTGCACACACATGTTGCACATACATACAGGCAAAACTGAACTGAAACACATAAAATAAAAATGAATATAAAGAGCTAGTAAAAACACTGTTGAAGGCCTAGAGAGATGGCTCAGAGGTTAAGAGCACAGGCTACCTTTTCAGAGGTCCTGAGTTCAATTCCCAGCAACCGCATGATGGCTCACAACCATCTTATAATGAGATCTGGTGCCCTCTTCTGGACTACAGGCAGACATGCAGACAAAACACTGTATGCCTAATAAAGAAATCTTTAAAAGAAAAAAAAAAATTAAAAAAAAAAATCCACGATTGAAACAGAGTAAAATAAAATCACTCCTATACTATTGGTATTAAAGGGACATTCTCAAGTATTTGACCACTAAGAGATGGCAACTTCGTGATGATTGTGGGCTTTCTAGTGTGTGTGGCCTGTTTAAGTTGTGTAACTTTGTAACCGATAATGCTGCTTGCCAAGCTAACAACCATTTCCAGCCTTGTCAGGCTTGTCTAATTCCCTACCAAAGAGGCTGAAAATGCTAAATATCTGTCTTTGTCTGTTTCTCTTAATCCTGGTCTATGACATTTAAGGAGATGAGAAGTGCGTGTGCCCCCCTCCCCCCAAAAAATGCTGTCATATGGAGGATGTGATGTCTGGAGTTGTGGCAGCCCTCTTGTGATCAGAAAACCTCCATCTTGAAGCTAAAAGCTAACACAAAGGGAAGTAAGACTGGGAAGATGAAAAGCATCCCTGTGACAAGGGTTTCCATGGGAACATGCAACATACACGTCTACTTACTACACATAGGGAGCCCACGACAGACCGAAGTACAGATAGCACCAAAGTCCAACTTGGTGAAACAATGAGTTTTATTGGAGTTACTTACAGGAATATGGGAGACTTCCAGGAGCAAAGATGACTGAAAGAAAGCTGCATCACCAAGTCCACCCCACTATGGGTGTCAGCTCACAAAGATGGGCTGCAGCACATTGCTCAGCCTGCTCAATGCAGAGTGTTCTTGCCAGTTGATCTAAAGAGCTGCCAGGCAGCTCATCTGCTTTCTGCTTCTTCTAGAGCAGCTGGGTCTAGTCTAAGAGTCTTTGCAGCTTGGCTCATTAGAGAGTGACTCTCTGCTATTTTTATTGCTTATTCTTGGGGAGGGAGGGGCCTAGTGAATCTGGTCAGTTTGCGGGAACTTCCTGATGCTGTTTTGTTTACCTTTTGTCTTAAGGAACTTTCCCGCAGAATGGAATGTTTCAATCTGGAGGAAACTGCTACACAACAGTCCTCCTTCTTGACTGCTCCATTAGGCTGAGGATCACTGATTACCATATTAAATAAAAAGTCATTAGGTATAGTTTTTTTTTTTTTGTGGACAACTAAACACATATACTGATAGAAATGTTTAATAAAAGCCTCTTAGGTGCTTTCCCATGTTTAAGTATGTTGATCTTTTAGACTTCATCTTTCCCCACTGAGGTAACCATGGTGATTCCTGAGGTTGGCGAGACAGTGTTACTCTCTCTTTCCAGGAGATCCACCCTATTCCTAACAAAAGTAAGAGTTATAAAAAGTAATGCACTAGGCAAAGACTTCAGGGCAGGCAAGACAGCTCAGTGGGTAAAGGTGATTGCTGCCAAGCCCAACAACTGGAGTTCTATCCCAGAGACCCACATGGTGTAAGGAAAGAACTGACTCCCTGCAAATCGCTCTCTGACTTCCACATGCGTGTGGCAGAATGCATACTTACAAATACACAAATAGCAAAGAAAGGAAAACCCTGACATTCATGCTGGGAGGGAGGTGCCACCAGGCAAGCAGCTGTCTTCTCTTGGGGCTATGGGTACTATGGAGCCTGAGGTGGCTGAGGATAGTGGATGACCTTCACCGAAGGACTCTAGCAGCAGCAATGATACACTAGGTGGAGCCTGCAACCAATCACAGCTTCCTGGGCTTTAATATTAAGCTGATCTGGAATTACAGAATGACCAATAACTGATGAGGATCTAATGACACACCTGAGTGCATTGAGAAAAAAAAAAAAAAAAAAAAGGTTGGTTTCAAGTGAAGAGTAAGGTTCTGATTAACACTTACCACTACACCGACTCATGCTTTAAAACATCGGCCTAAAAATAGTTACCTATGGCTGGTGAGACAGCTCACTCAGTAGCAGGCTTGCTGCACAAGCAGGAGGTCTAAGTGCAGACTCCCAGCATGCATATCAAAAAGCCAGGCATGGTGGGAGTGCCTATGATCCCAGCTTTAGAGAGGTGGAGATGACAGGATCCCGGGGGGCTTGCTGGCCAGAGAGTAGTGGGATCTCGCTGAGCCCCAGGTTCAGTAAGAGACCTTGTTTTATTAAAAACAAATAATCAAACAAACATAAAAAATCCCCAAAACAGGAGGTACAGTGCTATCGAGGAGGCCTGATGTTGACTGCTGGCTCCCACACTGCATATAATACACACATACACACACACACACACACACACACACACACACACAGAGTGACCAATGTCAATGCTGGTGGCAGCTTGTGACAATGACCTTCTGTGGAAACTGCAGGTCTAAGAGAAACACATGTCTGGCAGTATAGCAAATAGGTTAAATGGAAATCTGTTTCTAGAAAACGCTTTCCTTTTAAACACTTAGAAAAATCAAAGTGCCTAGACAAAAGCTTCATTTTGCTAATGACATGAACCAGGCTGAGGAAGACAAGGAGATGCAGGCCAAATATAAAATGCTGCTTATTGATATTGAGCTGAATCTCTGACCCACTCAGGGCCTCATCTTGCCTCCTCCATCTGCTGTCATCTTTGAGGAACCATGGCTGATTTTTTTTTTTTTTTTTTTTTTGAAACAGGGTCTTACTCTGTAACCCCAGCTAGTCTGAATCTCATGGCAGGCCCCCTACATCAGGTTCCTAAATTCTGGCAGGGATTGCAGGTGTGAAGCACTAGGTTGATCCCTAGTAAATATCTCAAGAAAAAAAGAAAGAAACTGGCTACATCTAGTTTGACTGTCTTTGGTGAAAGATCTCTGGTTGGGAAAAAATGAGTCTTTATCAACAAGGAATCTCTGGCTATCTTGACATTCCATTTCCCCACCTTCCCAAGACTTCCTTTGAGAGCCTGTGGGGCTGCTATTCCTGACTCAAGGTCAGCCTGGAGAGTCCCACCCAGGAGGAGCATTTCTAAGGTGGAGAATTTGCTGGTTCCCCAACCCCAGTGCTAGCTTCTATGTGGTTTTTCAAAGGGGAGATCTCTGGTCCCCTGACTGCCCACAGAAGTAGGTCTGAGACTGTCCATTAGGGACAAGGTGAGGTACAGAGGAGCTAACTCTGATAGCTCTGTACTGCTTTCCCCAGCCGGTAACTTAACCCCATGTGTTAACTGCACCATTTCCCCTCATACAGCGAGTTAAAAACACTTTACACAGATGCTAAAAATTCTTTCAAATAAAAATTTATTTTGCAAATCAGACATTTACTTTCAAATATAGTTTCTCTGTAAATTCAATTTCTTAGGTAATACATTTACTCTTAATTCACTAAAGGCAACTGAATGGTATCTTTTTTTTTTTTTTTTAAAATGGGGGGAATTAATAGTTTAGATGCAGTTGTTCCAGATAGAAGGTATACTCTATTTTCATAATTCAGTCTGAACCAGAAAGGTATATTAGCCACACAAGCATAAATCTTTTATCTTAGATAATAAAATATATTCACTCCATACAATAACAAAATATAACTCAATATTTGCTGAAGTCATAAAAGGGTTACAAAAATGATTCAGGCTGTCATCAAAGGAATGTAAGTACAAATCTGTAGAAAGATTATTTTCTGAATAAAATTCCAGCAAGGCTGAACATTTCCAAATATCTTACATACATAAAGAATAAATTACTCCTGGTTAACACATTTTTGCCTTAGGGCCATTAAAAGCTGTAACAATTTTGATCACCTTAAAGAGTCCTAAGTTCTCCAGAGTAGGCTCTGCCAGTTCTGGCACACGGCGTACACGGCTGGCTGGGGAATGGAAATGCTTGCAGCAGTGACAGAGTTAATTAGCTGGCAGAAAGGCTTGGGAAGGAGAGACAAGGAAAATCAGAGGGAAGATGCCGCCAAGACACTAGACAGGCCAGCCCAAGGGCAGGCTTGCTGTGGCTTGGGATCCTGGTGCTTAGAACCTTCTGAGAGACCCCAGCAAGCCTTCCACTTTGAGTCAGGCCTTTCCTCTTGAATGTGATTTTTTAAATGAGGTGCGTGGCATACTTGAAGAGAAATTATGTTACCAGATATTAAGCAAGAAAAGCAGTACAGAAATCAAAGCAAATGTCTCCAGTAAAGAGCCCCAAAGGGGTTTTGCATACGAATGCAGGAAAGGAGTGAAGTTGGACTTGAGGCTCTTAAAAAAAAAAAAAAAAAAAAAAAAAAAAGCCAGAGGGAGCCAGACATGCTGACTAATGCATGTGATCCCGGCACTTGGGAGGCAGAGGCAAGATGAGAGTACATTCAAGGTCTGTGGTTTGGTCCCCAGCAAGTACCACAGGAAAAAAAGTACCCAGCAGGAAGGCAGAGGAACACTTTAAGATGAGAGTGTGGAATAAGACTCTGCCCACTGGACTCGCCTACCCCATGTAGCTACCGTTAAATGTCTCCACAGGCCCAACCCAAGGCTTCCGCCTGGAAACCTGCCAGACATTTCTTAGGGGCTCCGAAGCCTCAGCGAGGAAAGTTCAGTCAAGTGTCTGGTCACAGCACCCACACACTGTATGTCCAAGGCAGCGACGGGAGGACATGTATATTTTTAGCTCAATGCTTTTCAACTTTATTAGGAAATAAAGGGAACATAGCCCCGAACTCTCCTAAACTTCAGATATGCAAGACACCCACACCCTCAATGACAGCAGTTTCTAAGGCCAAATAAGACTATTGTGCTACAGAAAACGCTAGAGTAAAGTAAAATCAACAGCGCCACAGCCAGCTGAGACCAGGAGTGCTGTGGAATACTCTAAGCAGACATAAGGAAGTGTTTCTAAAGAATACTTGATCAGGATACGAGGGGACGTATCCACTGGGAAACATAACTGCGCACCGTGCTGCTTTTTCCTCCACGAGATAATATCTGGGCCTGGAGCCCTTTCTCCAAAGCTGTGCTAATATGAAGCAGTTAACTGTAGTCTAGATGGAACGGCACCCATGGAGGCCTGCTGGCTGGGCAGACTTTGGGGACTCTTTTTTGAAAGGGGGAGAGAATACATCAACTAAGTATTGTATTAGGTGCTTAAGACTTTTTTTTTTTTTTGTCTACTTGAAAAGGATAACTTCTATTGCACCCTGATACTGTTCCAATACAAAAGCATTTGATTTCAGTATTATGTGGGGCTCAGAATCTTTTAACATAAATGTTTTCTAAAGAGGCAAGAGCTTAATGATTTCTAAAACTTGGAAATTACATCCAAAGAACAAGAGGTAGCTTTTATTTTTAGCAATGTGTTTGGAACAGTGACAAGGGATGATTTATTCCACAAATCTGATGGCACAGTCTCTTGGGGTTTCTGCACTGGGTACCAGCTTGTGCATTTGTGCCTGTGTGGGGAAAGACAGGAAGGGTCCCTCGGTGTCACTGCTTCCCAAATGCTCACTCTCATCCATGTGCCAACAACTTAGATAAGAGGAGAACGAGCTTCTCCAGAAAAACCCCTTCGGCACCCAGGATCAGCTTGTTTTAAATAGAGGAAAGGTGGCTGTGAGGGTATCTTCGGCCACAAAGCAATCAATGCACATGGGGCCAATGTCAAGCAGGGTGGCTCTCTCACTGGGCAAGTGACAACCTGAGCGTCTCACAGGCACTGGTATACTCATTTTAAAAGCTGTGCACACTATAGATATCCCAGGAGAGGAAAGTGCAGAGTGTCATTTTCTTAAAAAACAACAACAACAACAAACCCAGGTGAACAAACAGAAGGCAGTTCACTCAAACCACAGACAGAAGCAGGGTTTCATCAGAACAATTCTAAATTTTCTAGCTAAGTCATGCCACGTGTGGTGTTAACTCCCACATCGTGAAAGAGAGTAAGAGGCTGAAGAGGGAGGAGGAAAGTCAGCATTCTGAAAGGGAAAGAGGTCAGGCATGGTGGCGCTGACGGGGACTGTTGAGTTCAAAGTCAGCCTGGGTTGAATAGCATGACCTTGTCTGAAAACCAGAAAGGTGAGCATGAGTGGCAGCAATAGAAGAACTCGTGCTAGAATTACAAAGCTTCATTGGGTACCGAGCCTCCCAGCTGCAAGGCACATTAACAACAACCACGGCAATGTTACGAAGACAATGAAAACCCAAAGACAAAGGCCCCTAAGGTGCACCAGCACTGCATCATTAACACCGCAGCTGCACAGCAGAAGCAGGGCTGCGCGGGATCGGATGCTGATGAGGCAGCCAAGAGCTGGTATTCTGGGTTGAATTCCAATGACTCTTCAGAGTTAAAGCCACTTTGTCTTCAAAGCTGTAGAGGACTCTACTAGATTTATTTTTGTCATATACTGCAGGCTAGACCAAGTCCATCGTTCAGTTGAATGGAGTCTTGAAAGCTCGGTCTACACAGCTCAGTCCAAAAGCCAACTAAAGAGAGGAGCTCTGAAGAATAGTTACAGAAATGCTGACTTCTTCACCTTGGTTATGGATCCACAGTTTGCATAGAAATAAATAATATGCATCAAGTCAAATTAGGATTAAAAGTTGAAACAAGGAAAATGGATTGGGTGGGGTAGGTGGGACAACAATTTGGTACTCATTTTTTTTTTTTTTTTTGGTTTTCCGAGACAGGGTTTCTTTGTGGCTTTGGAGGCTGTCCTGGAACTAGCTCTTGTAGACCAGGCTGGTCTCAAACTCACAGAGATCTGCCTGTCTCTGCCTTCTGAGTGCTGGGATTAAAGGCGTGCACCACCACCGCCCGGCCAATCTGGTACTCTTAAGGCAAAACAATGGGAATTTCTTTAAATAGACACTTTATTATATCCACAGGCGGTAAAATCCCAGAGCTACTGTTAGGCACGTAAACACAGACCCTGCAAGAAAAACAACCAAGAGTGCTGTTAGCCCCCTAAGTCACTTTCAGGGATTTTCTTTTGTACTGTACCAGGTGTCAGGGCTGAGTGAGGAGGGACGGCAGGCTACAGGCACTTTTTCCCTCTCCTTGCACTAGTCAAGACCTGGATACAGGGGTACCAAAGAGTGGCAATCCATGAGACGCTGCTTGTCAAAGGACACGAAGGACATGTTTCTACCCAGCAGCCAGCATCTTCCTGGCACAAACGTGTCCAGGACGCAGGAAAAGCTTCCAATCCAAGTTAGAATCACAACAACGGTAGGATCAAAGTGCGTGCATGTGTGCTGTGCACTTCCACACAAGGAGCAAAATTTCACAGTTAAATACTGCTATAACTTTAAAATGCTTGATTAATCTGAAATGCTAAAACTGACTTGAAATAGTGATCTTTAAAAATATTTATCTTTTTAATTGTATGCAAATGAGTGTTTGCCTGAATATATGTTTGTGCAACATGTACATGCCTGGTGCCCATGGAGCCCAGAAGAAGGCACCAGATCCCCTGGAACTGAAGTTACAGGCCGTTGTGAACTGACATGTGGGTGCTAGGCATTGAAGTCAGGTCCTTTGCACAAGCAAACAGAGATGTTTAGCACTGAGCCATCTCTTTAGCCCCCTAGTGATATGTTTTTTATTTTGATGCCAAAATATTCCTTCTTTGGCTTAAAAATTACAAAGGCAAAAATATCTTCTTTACAAGATTGTCCTGTGGCTGGTAAGATGGCTCTGTGAAAGCAACCTGAGTCTGAATCCCTAGAATCTATATAAAAAAGCTGTGTATGCCTGCATGCCAATAACCCAATCGCGCTCGCGCCCTCTCTCTCCCTCTCCTTCTCTCTCTCTCTCTCTCTCTCTCTCTCTGTGTGTGTGTGTGTGTAATACAGTGTTGCAGGTTGCCAGCTTAGCTCCAGGTTCAGAGAGAGAGAGATCCTGCCTCAAGGGAATGAGGTAGAGAGTGACAAAGTAGGGAAGCCATGTCATCCTCTGGTCTCTTCAGGTACACACAGGTACTCCCCCCTCCAAGCGTCACCAAGGGAGTAAGATGGTCACAAATCAAATGCCTTCCATTTATAAGTTATTCCCTGTACTGAACTTCACCGAAATCCCCAAACCATAGAGAGAGGCTAGCATCCTATCAAATTTAAGGACTCATCAACTAAAAAGTACAGAGGTATCTTTATTACTAAGGAAAAAATGCAAATTATAAGAGGTACTCCATTTATTGGAAACTGCAGGATGTGCTGCAACAAAAAGATGTTAAAGCAGGAGACTGTGGCGGCCAACGATGTGCTGCCTGCCCCTGTTCTACGATACTGACTACATTCTTTTCAGCTGTGTTAAATGCTTGGGCGCAAAGCATCTCACCTGCTAAGTATTTGATCGTGTCAAGCTTGTGTGCCTCCAGCATCGTCTTGAGGCCAGCCACCTCGGTTTCTATCTTCCTGTCTGTCTGGGTCAGGGCTCTGTCTTGCTGGGCGTGCTTTGAAAGCAAAGAGGTTGAGAACATTAGGGTCTGTGGATGCTGATCTGTTCCCTGGAGCTCTGACCCAGAGCTTGTTCTCAGCAGCGAGCCGTCCTGGATGGAGAGCTGGAGCTGGGCTCAGTCTTGACTCTGCTATCCTCAGGCCATACTGCACTGTCCAGGGTCCTTAACGTCTCCTGTCTGTTTCATTCTGTTTGAAAAAAGGGATTAAAAACAGAACAAACCAACAACCCACTACTGGCCTTGCCTCCAGAAGAACTATTGAGAGAATCAAAGACAGTAACCTATAAGGCAAAGCTTCTGAGAACAGACAGCTTTACACACTGTGGTGCTATGACACCAGTCTGCTCTTGATGGTAGCGATGTCTAGTTCTTGCTAGCCCCTGTAGGGGACAGTGGACACAACAGTTCTGCTGAGAGATGAACATGGCTTTAGATCTGACAGCAACAGGGCTGATTCAATAATATTTCTAGCTCCATCTTTTCAGGCTGTCTTCTCTTACAGGTTAAACATCAAGTGTTTTACTAACACAAGGCTCAGCTACCAGGGGCTGATTAACGTCCTCCAAACATAAGACAACTCCAGACTACACATTTAACCCTCAGTGGGCAATGATTCTGGTTGTCATGCTAATGAATAAAAACACTGGGAATGTTCTACTAAAAAATCTAAGGATGAGGAGTTTCTTTCTTTTTTTATTTTATTTTTGTATTTTTCTTTTCTTGCTTTTTTTTTTTTTTTTTTTTTTTTGCTTTTTGAGACAGGGTTTCTCTGTGCAGCTTTGGAGCCTATACTGGCACTTGCTCTGGAGACTAGGCTGGCCTCGAACTCACAGAGATCCGCCTGCCTCTGCCTCCTGAGTGCTGGGATTAAAGGTGTGAGCCATCAACGCCCAGCATATTTTTGTATTTTTCAAGACAGGGTTTCTCTATATAGCTCCGGCTGTCCTGGAACTTGCCCTATAGACCAGGCTGGTCTCAAACTCACGGACATCTACCTGCTAGTAGTTTCTTACCAACACCAATGCAGGTACATAATAAGCAAATGAAGCCATTCCAGAGAAAGACCCTTATATCCCATGGAAGGTTGTGCAGCACAGGTCTGAGGCAACACAATATGGATTATCTCCCTCCCCTATAAGTTATATTCATACTATGTATAACACACACACACATACACACATACACACACACACACACACACACACACACACAGAGAGAGAGAGAGAGAGAGAGAGAGAGAACAATTAATTCATGTCTTAGATTGAAAACATAAAATAGTGTCATATATTGCCATTTGTTGATCACTGAGATTTAAACATTTAAACATTCATATCACTTGTCAATTACCGAGACTGAACACTCATAAACATGATTTTGTTAAGTCTGAAAGTCCTATGGTATTCAACTACTGGGCATTTACTCCAAAGAACCCAGAGCAGAAAAATCTAAAACATGTCTATGCATCCATATTTGTCACATTTTACACCAGCAACCAAGTGACAGAAGGAAGAGATGAATGAATGAGATGTGGTAACACTAGAATAGCACTACTCCATCTTAAAAAGGGAGTCTGACACATGCAGCAACATGGCCGGACCCAAGGCACTATACTCACAGAGGCCAGGCAGCCCTGGGAAGGCAGATTCGCTCTGACTTCACTTACACAATGTCATCTAGAAGAGCAGACACAGAGAGAGCTGGTTTCTGGGGCTGGGAGGAGGGGTAGAGAACTAGGGTCTAAGAGACAGTTTTGGGGGCTGGAGATATGGGTCAGGTATGGAGGTGTAAGCCTGTAGCCTGTAACTCCAGGGCTGAGAGGTGGGCAGCTGGATCCTGGAGCTCACTGGCCAGACAGTCTAGCCAGCTGTTGAGCTCCAGGTTCAATGAGAGACCTTGTCTCAAAACAGATGAGGGAGAGCTATTCAGGCAGACACTTAATATTGACCTCTGACCCCTACAGGTACATGCATAGTTGCACACCCCTCCCAAGAAAAAAAAGTTTCAATTTTGCAGAATAAATGACATTGAGGATGGAGAAATGGCTCAGTAATTCTTCTGGCTTCCACAGGCACTTGCATTCACATGCACATGCACGCACGCGCGTGTGCGCGCGCACACACACACCCACACACCCACACACCCACACACACACCTACCTATCTTCAAAGCATGATATTGAATTATGCACACAAAATTGTTGCAATGGCAATTCTTACATACATTTTACCACAATGAAAAAGAATCCCACACTAAATGTGCACATCCTCCTGTAACATCAGACAATAGTTAACCCCAAAGCCATGCATGGGGAGAAGCAAAGATGAATAACAGAATGACAGAAGTCAGCCTCAATCCTTACCAGAGACACCATTTCTGTCCTGAGTTGCAGCATCTTCTTCTCATTCAATGAATACTGAAACAAATATGCAGCACAGGTTAGAGTCTGGTCCATTGTCTTTCCAGTGAGTTAACCTTTCCGTTCTCATTGTGTCTCAGAACATCTAAGAAGAGACGTCATCCTGCATCACCGCAGCCTACAGCTCTTTCTTTGGAGGTGAGCCTTCTTATGTATATCCACTGGTGGTGCTGGTTGCTTTAATATCAACTCGAAACAAGCTAGAGTCATTTGGGAAGACGGAATCTCAGCTGAGAAACAGCCCACCAGACTGACCTCGGGGCATTTTCTTGATTTGATTCGGGAGGGTATAGCTCACTCTGCTGATGGTCTGGGAGCTCTAAGCAGGCTGAACAAGCCATGGGGAACAAGACAGTAAGCAGCGCTCCTCCATGATCTCCAGGTCTCTGCTCTGACTTGCACCTGGATGATGGACTACAAGCTGTAAACGGAAATAAACCCTTTCCTCCCCGAGTTGCTTTTGGACGCAGTGTTTTTCACAGCAACAGAAAGGAAACCGAGGCACTGCTGAAGTGTAGCCCCTTTCTGCCTCTCTTTGCTGTTTCTCATTTTATCTCCTAGCTATGATATCACTGGGTCCTGCCCACTATTAGAACAGCAAATCTTGGGTCCCACTTAGATGGGTGTTGATCAAAATGCTTTTGGATTTGTAAGGGCTAATAAAGGGGAGGAGACACCAGTTTAATTTAGGAATGTTGCTCCCATAACTACAAATGTGACAGACATTACTGACATGTTAGGAATGGTAGCAACAACATAACATTAGGAAAAGATAGTTCAAGAAATGTGATTCTGTAACAAGATATACTACTGCTATAAAGCATAACATAAATACAAGAAATACAGCAAAGCACCACAAGCTGTCTTAACAACGGCCTAAGAACTCCACTGTAGAAAACCGCAGCCCAGTGTTTCTCAAGGCCTCTAGCTATTAATGGTGGTAAAAAGATTTAGTACAGCTCTGTTGACAATAAAACAAAAATCAGACATGCTTCCATGATAATGAGCATTAGTATTTAAATGGGCAAATGGCAACCTGTAGTTTAAATGAACATTTAGGACCTAATATTGTTAATAGGAAAAAATGATAATGGTATAAGGTACCTAGAAAATTTCTAGCTATAAAATGTTGTCTTCAAACCACCGGAGCATCAGAATGCAGTAACACAGTGATCAGAAGTAAAAATGTGTTCCCAGACTCCGGAATCCTGAACTAACCAGCCTGGTGATTCAGGACCCTAATAGTTACATAAGCCAAGAGGGTTTCAGATCTGTGCCATTCACCATATCACCACCAGAGGGCAGAGTGGAGTTGGATGTTCTGTACACCTTTAAGCTCAGCATTAACAAAACTACAGGGGAAAAAAAGGCCTACATCTCGACACGGTCACGATTATTAAAATGACACTTCTGTGGCCCTAGCTCCCGGAACTCCAGAACAGGAGTATTCTATACTGCTATGACAATTGGCTGTAAATATCACCACAGCTAATATTTGTTGGCTGTGTTGGATATCAAACTCAGGGTTTCACACATGCTTAAGAAGTGCTCGGCCTGTGAGTCACAACCTCAGCCCTAATTTAAATTTGAAATTAATATTTTAATTTACCAAGTCAACCCCTCATTTGCATTAATGCACCATCACATATTTACTAGGTGCCACGCAGTTCTGCCAAAGCCGACTTCCTCACTCAGCAAATCCTCTCATTCAGAGATTTTCATCCATATCCACGCCCTGCCCCTCCCAATCTGTGAGCTATGTCTTTCCAGCTTGGTTTTGCATAAGCACACTATTACCTTCCTAAACCAACTGGACTGCAGCAAAACCTAGCTCCGAGGAGGTCACAGAAGGTTTCCATATGCTGGCGGCTGGATCTTTGTGACTGAAAGGTATCCTAAGATTTTAAAGACAGCCACTGGGCTCAGCAATTATTTTGCACAACAAAGCTCAACTTAACCTCTGAAATCCAACAGCAGTCCCAGATACAATTAAACACTTGTCTGAGCTTCAGTATTAGCTTCGTTCATCACCATGACACATTCTGACAGAAGACAAACTGAGAAGTGATGAACATGAAGGACTATGTGGACTCTAATGCACGGGGTTCAGTTCTGACTGAGTGCAAACATGCTCCACATGCCCTGGTTTCCTTAGGCCACATGTAAGAAAGTTGCCTTCTTATGTTACTCAAGCTAACGAGGGGCTGAGCAAGAAAATGGGCGAACTTAGACAGGTTAAAAAGTCAACAGGGCGTGATGGGTATTGTAGCCCAGGAGGAGGGGTGGTGGTGCTGTGGCTCACTGGCTGTACTGTAGCCCAGGAGGATCATGGGAGGAGGTGCTGTGGCTCACTGGCTGTACTGTAGCCCAGGAGGA